TTTCTTTATATTTACTCTATTGGGAATTCTTTGGGATTCATGGATCCTAGAAGTTTACTTTCCTCTCCAGATTTGGAAAGTTTCCTGTCATTTCTTTGAATAATCTTCTGCCTCTTTTTCTCTTTCTGCGTCTTCTGGGACTTTCCTTGATTGTGTCCTGAAACTCTAAGAGGCATTTTTCTCCCAACTTTTTCCTTCATTTTTCTCTTGGTACTTCTGTGAGAATAATTTCTTTGAGTCACTGATTTATCTTAGACTGTATTAAGTTTGCTGTTAAATCTCTCTGGGATTTTACAATTTAGTCATTGTGTTCTATAGCTCCTGAATGTGTTTATTTTATTTTTCATAATTTCTATCTAATTGTTGAACTTCCATTTTTTTCACATATATGATTCTCCTGGTTTCTTCTAGTTTTCTCTCTGTGTTTTCTTGCATCTTGCTAAGGTTTTTCAAGATTATTATTTTGAATTCTTTGCCAGGGAATTTGTAGATTCTGTGTCTACAGGAATGGGCCTGGAGCTTAACTCCCCAGGGTCCAGCCTGGTGCCAGGGGTGGGTCTATTGTTGGGATCTATGTCCCTTTTACCACACAAGGGGTATCTTTCTCCCCATACTTCAATACCTGAGTTTCTGGAAAGACTGCAAGTTTTTTTTTTTTTTAATTTTTATTGTTAAAATGGCTGCATCAGAAATGCCATGTTAAAATGTCACACATCACATTAGAATTATTTCCTCAGTTTTGGAAACATTTCTCTTACAGAATCTTCTTAAGGTATCTAAAAGAACAGCATAGATATAGAAAGCAAAAATCTGGGATGATCTCTGGGGTGCCTCTGGTGCCTTTGTTTAGGTTACATTTTATGCAAAACAGAATTTGTAGATATAACTAAGGTGATTACTCATTTGACCTTGAGCTAATCAAAAGGGAGTTTATCTGGGTGGGCCTAACCTAAACCCGGGATCACTGTAAATCTAGGTCTAGAGGTCAGAGACTGGGAAGTCAGAGGAAGTCATAAAAGGAGGGAGATTTGACATCCAAGAAGTGCTTTGTTGCTGATTTTAAAGATACAGAGGGCTATTTGATAAGGACCTGAGAGCAGCCTCTAGAAGCTGAGAGCAACCTCTGGCTAGAGACAGCTCCTAAGTAGAGACAAACCTGAGTTTTAAAGAGGACTCCAAATTCTAGATTAGAACTCAGCCCCTCTGATTCTTTGTGAAACCCTAAGCAGAAAAACCAAGTATGCCATATTCAGACTTCTGATGTACAGACTGTGAGATAATAAGTCTATTGCTATTTTAAGCTGCTGTGATTGTGTTGGTTTGCTAGGCAACAATAGAAAATAAATGCAGTGGATTGATTTTAATCTTTGTCTTTAAATCTGTGGTTTAGTGGACCCTCTACTAACAACAACTGACTTGAATTCTTTGCCAGGGAATTTGTAGATTCTGTGTCTACAGGAGTAGACCTGGAGCCTGGAGCTTAACTCCCCAGGGTCCAGCCTGGTACCAGGGGTGGTTCTGTTGCTGGGGTCTATGTCCCCTTCACCCACACAAGGGTGGGTTTTTTCACTCCGTGAATATCCTTGTCCTTCTGCAAACAGTATTTCTGAAGGCCTGTAAGATTAGGAGACCTATGAATTCATGTTTCCTCAGCATTTTTTCCTTTTTTAAATTTCTAAGCTGTCTTAGAGCAACATGTGATCCTACTGTGTATATATGTTCAGTCTGTGCCTCTGTCCACATAAAATACATGAGTTTGACACACCCAAACTTGCTGTGTGCTGCTCATGGTGACAAGCCGACAAGTATTTCTTGAATCTTTGGGTGATGAATAAACACTCCTGATTCTGAAGTTATCACAGATTGGTAACAAAGAGTTGAATGGACCAAACTGGGGAAGTGACTGACTCAAACCTTAGCCTTATTGGCTTATCCAAACTTGAGAGAAAGAGAAAGAGGGCGAGAAAGAAAATTTGAGAACTTGTACAATAATTTTGTGAAAGATACAAAATTTTTTGTTCTGCCATCTCCTAAAATTTAAATTTTAAGAATTTAGTTACACAAAACTGGAGGATCACTATTTCCTAAAAAGTGGGGAGGAGAGGGTGGTGCCCCAAACACTTAATCACCTTCTTCTAGGCTAACTCTTAAAGGCTTCACCAGCTCTGGACACCACCATGCAGAGGACCAAGTTTCCAACACAATAATAACCTCTGGGAATGAACTGTACCCAAATCATAGCACTTGGATAGTTTGGTTTTGATTAGGGAAGTAGGGATTTGTGTTAATTTGTGTTTCTTTCAGGGGGCGGGGTGAGGTACTAGAGATTGAACCCGGGGTGCTTTATCACTGAGGCACATCCTTAGCCCTTTTTATTTTTTATTTTGAAACAGGATCTCACTAAGTTGCTTAGGGCCTAGTTAAGTTGCTGGGGCTGACTTTCACCTTGTGATCCTCCTGCCTCAGCCTCCCAAGTTACTGGGATTACAGGCATCCATTGTGTTGTTTTATCATTTATTATTTACTCATCTATTTAATATTTATTTTTACGTACAAATATAAACTAAAAATAAATCATAGTCATACCTGCCAAATAACCCTGGTTGGCATTTAAAAACACATAAGGTTAGAAAAATCAAGCAGAAAACTACAGAAATATGAAAAAATGAAACCCAGAATCTCCCCCCTACCTCCTACCTCTTAGACCCTTCCCTCAAAGGTTAAAATTTCTTGAGATCCCCCCTACATAGGTGTCTATTTACAGATTTATATATTTTTATTTATGCAATTAACTCTGTACTGTTCTACACCTTGTTTAGATTTTCTCTTAAGAATCATTCTTGATCTTTGTGTAGCATTTCTTGAAGACTCTTAGTCTTGCCTGTAGTATCATTGGCTATTTTACTGGCATTTTAGATTTGAGATAAATAGATAAATGTGCCCCCACATCCCACATTTCTCTCAGACCCCACTGCAATGCCAGTGGGATCCCAGCATCTGTAGTCTTTCTGGTTATATGGAAGGCCCACAGCAGTACCATAAGCTCATAGTCTCCTTTGGCCTTTATTTTCAGTATCCACAGTCCCTTTAAATCAGTGTCTGCCACTACTCCAGGGTTAATGAACAGAAGGTAAATCTCCCTTCCCCTGCTCAGGGCACTGTTTCTCAGAATGGGAATGGCAGGCCTGGTTGGTTTGCTCACAAGCCCCATATCTTTGCACACATATGCATATGAAAATGTATCCACAGGTGTGGGTATCCTCAAGGTAATAATGTACACTCTTTCTACAAGTCAGTCCCTCTCAGCTGGTGACTTTTTCCATGTAACTACTATCATTCAAACACATGAATATTCACATTCTCACACATATATTTGCTTACTGTGTTGTGTAAAAAGCACATGAAAACTTGTCTGGAAAGGAGGAAGAAGCCTTTGCCTGAAGATGCTACTGCTTTTTGAGTTCTTGTGTTTTCGGTGGAAGGGCAGTGAATTCTCAGAGTGGCGAATGGATGGGAGGGAACACTTTGTGTTTCCATGAAGGACAGAGTTATTTATATGAACCTATAAGCTGGGTTTCCAAGATGTCTGTCTCAAGACAGAAGGAGGGCTGGGGTTGTAGCTCAATGGTAGAGCACTTGCCTAGCATGTGTGAGGCAATGGATTCAAACCTCAGCACTGCATTAAAAAATAAATAAAATAAAGGTATTCTGTCCATCTAAAATGAAAAATAAATTTTAAAATAAGAAGGAAAAGGAAGGAAGGAAAAGTGGAAGGGAGGAAGTGAAGAATGTTGGAAGAGGGGAAGTAAAGAATAGCATCCCCTCTTTGTTAGCCTATGTCCATTGTAACTATTGAAAAATTTAATCAAGACCGTTATCTGTAGATCAATGGTCAGCAAAGTAATTATCTTGCTTTTAGAGTTATTTTGATGCTCAGACCTGTGGATACTCATTATTAATGCTACTAACAGCATTATTTGTGTTGCCATTCTGGATTCATGCTTAAAGAATCAAGTAATAAAAAAAAAACCTTACTTGAGTCATACATTGTGAAACATGCATTTGGAATGATTCCCTGAGAAAGCTGGGTGCAGAATACAAATATTTTGAATGGACTTATCTTAGAGTTGTACTGCTTTTTTTCCTTGTCATTTTAAAACCCTTAATACGAATAAATTGTTTGTATAGTGAGGCTTTTTTAAAAATCCTTAGATAAGAAATACATGGTTTGAAAGCAGAGAATAAAAACATGAATGATAATGGACGCAATGCCCAGGAGAAGGTCTTTGCCGCTGCTGCTGGGCAGGCGTTATAATCGGCTATTCGGTGTGTTTATTTCAGGCTGCAGATACTAGATAAAAGTGGCTGGTTGGTTGCCAGCATACGACTTAGTTGCCAAATGGAGTGTTTAGCACTTGTTACATATGACTTATATCACAAGTTCTTCCCATTAACAGTCTGCTGGTGATAACCTACTTGGCTTTTCATGTGGTTACTTTGAAACAGCCACTTGACAACATTTGGTATATCACAAAGTTTAATACTGAATAAAGGAGTTAGTCAATGACTACATGGGCTCAGCCATATACTGATACAGTACTTGGTGCAGAATTGGCACCCAGTCAATGTCTGTTCAATGAATGAAATAATCCTGTGTAAACATTTTTCTAGTTTACTGAACCAAAGTTAGGTCTATGGACTGAAAATATAAATGTCCAGAAAAGGGACAGAAATATAGTGCTTACATGTCCTGTAGGCTTGCATTTATATGGGAAGAAGACTTTCTGCTCATCTGTATTGTCATTGAATACAAAGTTGAATTAAATGAAATAATTGAAGTTCTCCTCAGAATGTCCTTGAGTCTGAGTCAAAATGTAACTTTGTGATATTAAAAATGTCCATAATCTCAGGTCTATTTTTAAAAAATAGATTCACTTCAGGAATGTTGGCCCTTGATATGTAATAAAATATACATTAAATATGATGATCTTTATTTTTAGATTGAAAACTTGCAAGAACAACTTAGGGATAAAGACAAGCAACTGACCAATCTGAAAGACAGAGTGAAGTCCTTGCAGACGGATTCCAGTAACACAGATACTGCGCTGGCGACACTAGAGGAAGCTCTGTCAGAGAAGGTGAGTTTGGACTCAAAAATGGGGGCATCTGGATTGAGAGAAGCAGGGTTCAGAGATGAGCCAAGTGAATTAAAATTTACCTGCTTTTCCCCATTTGCTAATAATATCTTTGGTTTCCTCTGGGCCTCACACTGCCTTACCGACCTCTTCAGTAGGCTTTGTGCTCAAAACTCACCTGCAGCCAGGGAAATCTTTTTGAAATGCAAATCTGATCACATCACCCTTGTCCCCTGAAAATCCTTCACTAGCTTGTCATTGCTGTTAGAATGATAAAGACTAGACTCCTTATGCTGGCACAGTGCACCCCTCCCTCTGAGCTGACTCTTTTCTGACCAACACCTCTCCTGGCTGTTCCCTTCCTTCTTCCTTTCTCCCTCCCTTCCTCCCTCTGACCTTTCTTCCTTCATTTCCAGTCTCATCCCCATCCCCTATCTCTCTTCCCTGGTTTTCTGTGCTCTAGCTCTGCTGGCCTTCTAGATTTTGAAGTGTATCATGTTCCCTTCTCCCTTAGGCTCTTGGGACTTATTCTCACCCAACCTAGAATGTGGTTTAGTGTCTGCAGATGTAGTTCTTCACTGGAGAGGTCAGCTTCTTGAGAAAGTTGTGTTGTACAGTAGTCAAGAGTTTGGAATCAGACTGTCTGGGTTCAAATCCTCATTCTCACACTTAGTCCTTTGGAAAAATTAATTAACTTCTCATTTCCTCAGGGAAAATATTATTTTATTAATTAGTTTCTTAGGGATACCTCCTGAGGACCTCTATTATGTTCTCCTGAATACCATGAGCTTCTCAGAGCTCTTGTCACAGTCTCAGTTGTTCATGCATCTGTTTTTGTTTTTCAAAAAAAATTTGTAGTTATAGATGGACAGCATGCCTTTATTTTATTTGTTTATTTTTATGTGATGCTGAGGATTGAACCCAGTGCCTCACATGTGCTAGGTAAGCGCTGTGCCACTGAGCTACAGGTCTGGCCCTCATGCATCTGTTTTTATTTGATTAATCCATCTCTCTGCTGGAGTCCAAACCTAGGCAATATTGTGTGTGTGTATGTGTGTGTGTGTGTGTGTGTGTG